GAAGAGAAGATATAGTTTGATTCTATAAACATTGTAAAACTGTTTATATTTCAGTGAAACCCTACCTTTTATAGGAATTAAAAGACTTCAGAATTTTCTGATTCCATTGTACATTTTGGCACTTTTTCTATTCTCCTATAGCAGGTGAGTCTAACCCATGATAATGGTGTTTCACACAATAAATTTTATTTGGTGCCTACTGTGAGTAGACTCTGTCCTGGGCAGTTACGCTATTTAGTAAGAAAGAGGGTTTATGTTACAGTTGGAGGTGGCTGAAATCACACTTGTTAATAAGGAAACAAAAACCAGTGGATGGTGCTCAACTCTATGAATAAAATACAAGATGACAATGGGGTATAATTCTGGCAAGAGGCACTATGAGTGAGTGTTCCTTTTGGACAGGTGGTTGGAGATAGTTGGTGTGAAGAAGCAGCATGTAAGCAGAGATGTGATGAGAAGGATCCTGCTCTGATCTGGAAGAGTGCCAATTACAGGCAGAGAGATCATTTATGACAAAGTCCCAAATGCAGGACAGGTTAGTCTGTTGAGAAACAGAATGAAGGCAGGAATCAGTGGACTAGGGGAAGAATGGTATGAGTGTAGCTTAGGGGCTAGATAGACAGCCAGATTATGTGGGACTCTGTAGGGCTTGGCAAGGTACTTCAGTTTTATTTTTAAGTCTAATCAAATACATGTCTCATGAATTGAAATGACATGCAATATACAATTTTAGATTAGAGTCTCTGCTGTGTGAAAGATATTGCAAATGGCCAAAAGTGGATCCTGGAAGACTTACTAGAAACTGGGTGAAAAATCGGTGGTGACATGTCTTGGACCAGGGGAAGGAGGGTGGAAATGGAAAGAAATGCCCAACTGAGGGTAAGTTTTGGAGGAAGAGCCAATAGAACAAGCTGAAAATAAGATGGGTTGGAAGGAAGTGATTGAAAGAGAAGAACAGAGTATGGATTCTTCCCAAATTTTCTTCCTAAGTAATCATGCATTCTAACCTCTAGTCTCTGTAGCAGTTTTAGTTACTAGCATTTTTGCACAGCACTTCATAATTCACTTGCTATTTTTTTCCATCATGCTTGGATTGTAAAATTATAGAATTTCAATTTTGGATGATACCATAACATTCTTCCTCCCACCTGACAAAGTCGAACTCATCCTTAAGACTCATCTCTTCTATGATGATTCCGCCCTCTGGGAAGACTCAGGAATAGCCCATCTACATTATTTGTTGCACACGCTTCCATAATAGCAATAATTTTTAAAAGTTTTTGAGTAAATTATTATCACTATCACCAATCAACTAAGCTCCCAGAGAGCAGAGAAGTTTTTAAAATCTTTGTAACTCTTATTACAAAGTATTTGCAGAATGAGTGATAAGTACATAAAGGAAAACAATTGGGTGATTTCCCTTTACTTGAACTATGGCAACTGGTTACTGCATCACTTCTTAAAAATCTCTGGCAGTCACCTGAATGCTTACAAAGGCAGCCTATTCCATTCAGATAGGTCTAATTGTTGGGAACTTCTTATACTGCATTAAAATCTTCTTAGAGTTTTCACCTTTTATTTTAGTTTTATCTACTTGTTAAATGGATAAAGATACGCCAAATGCAAAATTCCTTTTACCACATTGCAGTGATAAATGAGTTACAAAAACTCTACAGAGAATATCCTTGCACTGTACAGGAAATAGGACTAATAGGAATTTCATTAACTTCCAGAACTCAGCATTATATTTATAGGGCTCTGAACATTCAATTTGCAAGAAAGAGTATTATGAAACATATATTAAGGTCCCAGAAGGAATAATTAATCACCAGCATCACTCAGAAGTGGGTAAAGAATAGGGGGAAAATATCACTGTCAGTCATCCATCTTCCCATTATAGAGGGGCTAATTATCTTTAAATATCAAACGTATGTGTGTTTATACCTATACATGCATATATATGTCTTTTAAACTTATACTACTTAAAAGCAGTTAAGCATTTCCATTATAAATGAGTTCAGATTGAGATATCTGTAAATTTGCTACTGACAGTTTCCCAGCCAGAATTTTCCTGGTAACAAGACCTCTTACTTCTATACATACAGAAATTCGAACTGATAAGCAAAGGAGGACATACTACAGACTCAGGTATATATGAGTTCCAAGGCTAACTCCTACAAGTCCTGTGACTTTAAGAGATTATCATGATTCTGACTTGAAATCGCTGCTTCTTCATTTCCGCAAAATGGGGTAACATCCCTTTCTCATGGGTTTATGGCGAGAATTTAAACATAAATCTTGCAACACAAAGATGTGCACTAAGTACTCAACAAATACCATTATAAAGTAGTAAATTGTTACTATTATCTTAGCAAGTGGTTAGCAGCTCCAGAAAACTCTGTCAGGGATTTTGCAAGAAAAATTCTTAAATGATGTTGAAGCGGTCAAGTTGAAAGGCTACTGGGGGTCACATAAGCCAAATGACATGACTCTATGACAGATCTTTCACTGACAGCTAAAAAGCTTGAATATTGACTACTCTACCTTGAGAGGATACATATTATCATTTATAAAATTATTCTGAATTTATAAAATACCTCAAGCAACCTTTGCCTCATGTGCAGATGATGATGTGAAATCTTCTTATTAGATGGTTTTGTTTGTTTTCAAATACTTTATATTACTGATAATAATACAAACAATTACTGACACTTATAAGCAATTTACTCTGAATCTGGCTCTGTATTAAAGTCTTTTCACAAGATTGCCTTATTTAAACTTTAAAACAACTGTATAGGTAGCTATTCTATCTCACTTTACAGAATTAGAAACTGAAGTTTGGGGAAGGCTATGAGGGGAAGGATATGACTATGTCTCAGGTACTGTTCTAAGCCCTAAATAAATATGAATTCACTTAATCTGCAAAATAGCCTTATGAGAAAGCTTCTGTCATATGCACCCCCATTTTACAGATTACAAAATGGAAGCTCAGAGTCTTCAAAAACATACAAAGTCACATGACTAATAAACGGCATCATCGAGATTCTAACCCAGGTAACCTGGCTCTTGGGGCCATTGTCCTAACAGCACAAGGTGCTGTTTCTGACCAACGGCAGAGCAAACGGCCTCTGCGGCCAGTAATCCTAGCTGCTTGGCTATGTTACATCACTTATATAATTTTCATTTTAAAGAGGGCAAATGGAAACTCAAAGAAGCTGGGGAATTTGGCAAGGTCACACAGTGATCCACATTTTAACCTCTAAGCTGTGCTGTTTCCTCTTTTAAATAGCAAAGGTCTCACTTTCAAACGAAAATCACTAAGTCTGTATCCACTGGATAGATTATTACAAACAAACAGAAAAGCTTGTTGCTCCTTATAGAAAGAAACTTGTAAACTAGTGGATATATTCTTTCTGCTTAGATTTATACTTTCCCGTGAAATTCATCTGTGGTGATTCAACATGACTGATTTTTTTTTTTACAGAATATATCTGAGATCCACAAGTGTGCTGTGCATGACATATTTTAAACTTTATAATTTGTTCTTATAGTTTTGAAATGTGGATTATGATTTTGACATCTTAATTTCTCCTCTGTCAGAGAGGGTCTCTGGAGTTAGACGTATCTGCAGACTCCCATGTGACTCAAATACAAAGGCTTTAAATGAATTATTGCTACTAAGTCAGAATAGCAGACTTAAATGAGGGAGCCCAAGACCTGAAATACAATAATTATACATTTGTTTGCATGAGTATATAAAGCCCCAGAAAAAAGGACTTAAACAAAGCACTTAGGTTTTTTCATTGAGGGAAAATAAATCATTGTAATGATTTTCTTTACTTAAAAAACCATACATTTAATAAATTTTTAAACCACGTACTCTTGACCTTTTCCTAATTGCAGCAGGTCTTACATCCTATTTTTCCTGTTGTCAAACTGTACACTTGCCCAAAGTGCAGACATTCCTCCTCCCTAACCATCTCCTTACTGAAAGGACAGTGAATAAAAATGAAGACACAGCAACACTGATTCATTTCTGATTGATTAACACTTGCCCCAGAACAACAAGCAAAATGTTCTCTTTTTGTAACTGTCTAGTAGAATATATATTTAAAAATACAGCATATGGTATGTATTTTAATATGTGAAAAGTAAAATATAAATAAATATATACAAAAACAAAGTTAACAAGGTATAAATATAATCATTATATAGATTATTATTTTTGCGTAGAAACATATGACGCTGTGGGAAATTAATATAAATTTGATGTTGAGAAAGCAATGCCTTATAAATAACATTTAAAAGACATGCACAAAACCCCAGAATATAGAGTATGCATCTTATATGCATCATGTCTGTTACTCTTCCCAACTCTGCAAGGTTGATCCTATTATTCCTATTTGACAGCTGAAAATAAAGAGATAATTAAGTTCTTTCTCCAAAGTCATATAGATAGTAAATGGCAGAGATGGGCATTAAGTCTACATCTGCCTGGTTCCAGAGCGCTTCCTCTTTACTATTATGGTACACTTTCTCCCATGGGTGAAAACAAAAATATCTCTAAACCTTATAAAAATGAGAACTATTTTAAAAGACTAATAATAACCATGACAGTAGTAGAGTAATAGACAGTAGTGAGAGTAATAGACACAGGAGAAAGTCATGGCATCTGGGTTCTATTTTGCCTTTGACAATAAATAGGTTAACTTTCAAAGGCAGATTCTAGTTCTTAGGTGGAGGGGAGGGGAAGGGAGGGGAAGGGAGGGGAAGGAAGGGGAGGAGGGGAGGAGAGGAAAGGGGGAAAGGAAGGGGGGAGGGGAAGTGGGGGAGGGGACTAGAAGGTTGGAGGATACAGGAGGCTTTCTCTTGAAAAAATCCAATTCTAAATCTCTATCTTCCGAATGAAATTCTGTTCCAAAATGCCCATGTGAAACAGGACTCGGCAACCTCCCTGAGAGTCAGTGTGTACAGCTGTGGACGTGCAGGGGCCGCCTTACCTATAAATGAAGGGAGCCACCGTGGCGGTGTTGGGGTGGCTGTGCTGCTGCTGTTGAGGGAGTTGGACAGCACCATTTCCGCCCTGCGCACTGCCTTGTGCCCCGGGCGCGGCACAGGAACCAGCCAGGGAAGCATGGCTGGCCTCCCTTCCTTCCAGAGGAGCAGGGCAATTGGATGTGCTTGTTTTCTCAGTGGTGATGGGCTTAGATGAAGACTGGGAAGGGCTTCCCTTGGTAGTCCTGAATTTTTCCGACTCTTTGCTTGCTGCGCTGCCAGGGCAAACGGTCTGCTTCGCCGTGGGCACCTTGGAGCCAGGTTTCGGAATCCCACTGGAGGATGGGATTAAGCTTTCCTTCTTGGCTGCCGTTGTCTTGCTGCCCTTTGGGATTAAGCTTGCAATTTTAGAGGTCTTTTTTGGAGCCGGCTCCATCACCTGATCTCTCTCGTCCTTGACTGGTTTTTCAGTGCACACTTTAGTTTTGTCCCTGCCCTTTTCCTCTTTTTCCTTTGGCTGTAGCAAAGACTTTTTATTGCTGAGATTTTTGCTTCCAGCTTTTGGAGGGGTTAATTTAGGTGACACTTTGGGGCTGCTATTTGTTGAGCCACCGCTGTTCAGACCACTGTTAAAACCTTCCATCTCACCAGATTCAGAAAAGGCATCGTCCTCCTTCCCACCATCACTGAGTCCTGAACTGGGAGACTGTGGGGGGCGTAAAGCAGTCCGGGCGTTGACCAGCTTGAATTTCTCAAGCATGGATTTCTGTCCCGAGGGAGCTGTTTTGACCCCTTCTGAGGCAGCGGGCTTCAGTCTGTCTGCAGACGGTGTGGGGGAGGTGGCCGGGCTCGCCTGCTTCACGGCCAGCATGGTGGAGGTGGCGCTGTGCTTGGCGTTCATGGACTTGCTGCGCCAGGGCTTGCTGGTGCTGGGAGAAGGGATGGCGGAGGCAGGGGGCTGCCCAGCTGTGCCGGGGGGCTGCATGCTACCATTTACACCTGAAGATGGCTGAGGTCCTTTGGAGGAATCTGGTTGTGGTTAAAAACAAACATTGTTTGAAGGCTGATTAGTTTTTGATCACTTACATCACACCATTGAGCGTACCTAACTACAGGCCCAGAGAAGACTCTCCTCTGAACCCGGAGCTGACATGCTATGTGGCATTGATCACTTCTGTGATGCGGCTGTGTACCATATATCAGACATTCCATGCCTGAGAGGCATTGATTTTTAGGGAAAAAAACAACACTGTTTTCCCCATTCCAAAATTAGTCTTACCCAAATTAATTTTGCTGGTCACAGATGCCTAAAGATGAATAAGACACTATCCCTCACCAACACAATTCTCTGTATTTCTTCCAACTACTGCTGGAGCTCACAGCAGTAAACAGATATTCCACGTGGCCTTATAAAACAAATATTAAGAAATTGCCTTAACTAACAAGGAGCCTGGCTTATTGTTATCTGATTAAATCTGCTTTTGAATCATGATTTAGCTTTTTGTTAATAATGTTTATTTTTACTTGTATAAAATAAGTATTCAAAAGTATGGTTATATGGATCAAAAGTCTATTAAGAAATACATATATATAGTAATACATATAATTTTTATAACAATCCTATAAGGCATATATTAATATTATCATCCCAATTATATAAATAATTTTATAAAACTGAAGCAAAGAACTTACATAAGCTGTCCAAAGTCACTCAGCATGGACTTGAACTGATTTGAGAGGCTGTGCTCTTAACTAGCACACCTGCAGCCTACCATAGTAGCCCAACAGACTTTAAATTCTAATAAAAAATCAAGTTACTTTTTGGAGGCTATAAGAAAATTAGGCCTATTGTCATATAAGTACTTACAACGCAATAGTGTTTACCTACTTTCCACTCAGAAATCTCACTATGATAGGAATTTTTATACAACTGTTTTAGCACTGATTAATGCCTGATTTCAAGTCTTATTTTTAAGCATGAAAAACTAAAACAAAAAGATTTTATAATAGTGTATGGAATAAAAAAAAATAACTGAGTTTGGAGTTAAAAGGTCTCAGTATAAATGTTAACATTTGGGAACTATGTAATTCTGGTCATATTATTTACCTTAAGTTTCATCTACCGTAAACCTTCCTCTTTCATCCTTTTTTCTGAGAAATGGAGTGATAAATGATTAAATTAAATATTTATGTAGAAGAGGCAACATTGCTCCTGCTAACATACTAGGTATTGACAAATAAATGCAAAGCTATTTTTGATGAAATGTCCAAAGGAAATATTTTATTAAAAAAATCTTTTCATAATATTCAGGAAATAGACTCTATTCAATTCTATTATTCATAAATATAAAACTACAATGCTTTTACTTTTAAATGTTTTCTTCAAAGGTATCAAAATGCATGATAAACAATATGAAATTAAGCCAACTGGTATAGAGTAACTGTCTTACCCATTTTTCAGAATAAGAAATTTACAGACAAAAAAAGTTAATAAAGAATTAGAGACAGGAAAAGAGGTTGAATTATTAGTTAAACATTTGTGTGAGTTTTTTTTTAAGTGTGCCTAATATAATACAATAGATTTTTGAAGTTTATATTAGCAATAACAGTATAGACAAATGTATTTTATATTAAGCTTTCTTAAACAAGTTGGTACACCAACATTGACTTCTCATTCTCACTACCTTTCTACGATTCCTTATTTTAACTGGTGAAAATTAGTGTTAAGACTGTATATATATACACTCTGGACTAAAATGTAGTAGTTTACTGATAAGTCAAAATTCTTACATGACATACTTAAATTTTAAAGCATATGATGATACACTGATCTTTTTTAGTATTCATGTGAAGTGTGCAATTGCATCCATTTCTAGAATATTTGTAGGACTCCATTTGGTATACACAAACACTAAGGTGTTTTGAAAAAACTAATTTGACTAATTCCAGACAAGTCCAACAAGAGTCAAAGCGTCCACTGTCTCAAATACGCTCACTCTCTGTGAATGGATCTCAGTCTTCTACTTCTATCTGTTTTAAGTATAGGTAATTCCAAATTTATTTCACATACAGATCCCTTTCAGAGCCTGTGAACATTTTACCATGATTTGAATCATTCTCAGTAGCAGATACAGCAGGTTGATTACCTATGGGTAGAAATGCCTACCAAACACTTCTTCAGAATAACTCTTACTAATTAGTCAGGTCTCACTTTGACCTCACTTCCTCTGGGAAAAAAACAAACACAAAAACATTGTCCCCACCCTCACCTCTGACCCTCTACCAAGCACCAACTTTGGATGAGGTGACTCTGCTACACTCCTTGATAGCTAATTTTGTCTTCTATTATAGCCATTGTAAGTCCACTGTAATCGCCCATTTTCCCCACTGCACTGCACGTACATTCCATAAAAGCAAAGCACATGCCTGTATTATGCATAGTTTTATACTGTGCACACAGTACCTACTATGTGATGAGCACTGAGCTATTTGCATACATTAGCTCAATCCTTCTAACAACTGCATGAGATTTTTATTTCCCTTATTTTGCTCATGAAGAAACTGAAGCACAAAGAGCTTAAGTAACTTCGCCAAACTGAACACAATCTGTAAGTGACCAAACTTAGAAGTGAACTTAGCTCGGTTTCTAAGTTAACTCTGTCAACCACGATACTATTTTTCAAATATATAAGGATAAGTACAATGGCTTATCAATTATAATATTATTCAACAAACAGAGGAACAGAGAAAATAGTGCATATCATATGAATGCCTTTAACAGAACTTAATGAAGTGAACTTTATTTCTCAGTTACCTAGATTCAACTGGAAACTAAGAATAACTCCAAACAAAATGAATTTTCTCAAGTTCTGTGACTTGTAGACATGTCCATGCATTTCACATAGTGACTTCATCATTTTGCTGATTTCTCTCCAACATATATAGCTGTATTTTTCTACTATTTACAGAAATATTCATCAATATTATTCAGTTCCTACAATCTCTAGAACTTGTATCTAGCACATCTGTTAATATTTACTTAGTGGCTATTCTGTGCAAGACTCTCTGGTCTCGTCAAAGGGAAGAAACCAGACTCATAAAAGATGAATGGCATATATTAAACATTAAACGAGTAGGAGGTGGGAAAGAAAACGGTAGAGATCAGAAGTACACAAAGGGCTGTACAATATTAAAAAAGATCAAGGCACATAGCTAAGGGAGATATGCAGACATTCAAGGCAGCAGGGATATATTTTTGTAGGAAACTATGTAAAAATATACTCCATTTACATTTTAAAAATACGTACATACATATAGTGGGACGGAGTTGGAAAGAAACATCGTATCCGCCCAAAATCAAAGTACAGTTTATTGTGTTATTGTTAAGAGGAACATGATGGCATCCTATTGAACTTATCTTCCTTTTCTTACATTGATCTCAAAAGTTATTTGTGATATTTCTTATTCTATAATGAAAAGAATATTAATAATTATTACAAATATAAAAATGCTGACTGGCACGTTATTGAAAGTTCCTTATATTATTTCACATTAGTGATCCCAACAACCTGATGAGGTGGGAAGGGCTCCTATTTCTTTTCTGTTTTTGGTTTTGTTTTGTTTTGTTTTTTTTTTTTGACAGTTTCATAATCAATTACTTTGTCTCCCTTTCTTGGGGAAGGGCTCCTATTTCTACTTCACCCTTATGGAAACCAAAGCTTTGAGAGCTTAAACAACTCATTCAGTGGTGCCCAGCTAGTGAGGAGTGTGTGGTGGAGCTGGGATCTGACCCCACGGGGTGTGATGCTCGAGCCCAAGCTCTATAATCGTCTTAGAATGTCTGACATTTTAAGTGTTTAACAAAAGTGGGCTTAAACTTCAATGTGCCCTTAAGTCACTGAGGATCCTACTGAATGCACATCGTATTGTGATTCGGCAGATCTGTGGGGGGTGCGGGGTGCGGAAATTTTGTATTTCTAACAAGCTCCCATAGGATGCCCGATGCTGCGGGTCACAGACCATGTTTTGAGTTAAAATTTGAACAGACTTGGAAATCACAGCAATTGCTGACATTCTCAGCTTTAATGAGTTCTTTCCTATGACAGCATCCATATTGGCTAAACTCACTACATATTCCATAGCTGTGCAGAATTAATAGTCCCCCTGAATGCTTGGAAACTGGTGGTGAAGGATCCGTAAAATCAAAGGGAGCCCATCAGGTATACCTAATGTCCTTTATAACCACATATTTAGTGCATGTCTTCTTTGTTTCTGTAACTAGGTTAAGAAATCAGGACGGACCTAGAGATGATCATACTAACTGAGTTAAATCAGACAGAGAAAGACAAGTGTCATATAATATTACTTATATGTGGAATCTAAAAGATGATAGAAATGAACTCATTAACAAAACAGAAACAGACTCACAGACATAGAAAACAAACTTACGGTTACCAAAGGGGGAAGGGAGTGGGGAGGGATCAATTAGCAGATACACAACACTATATACAAAATAGACAAACAACAAGGTCATGCTGTATAGCGCAGGAAACTCTGTTCAATAACTTATAATAACCTATAATGAAAAAGAATATATATGTATAACATAATCACTATGCTGTACACCAGAAACTAACACAGCATTTTGTAAATCAACTATAATTAAACGAAAGAAGTCAGGGGACTCCTACCCTTTTCTGCCTGTGAGCTTTGGTGAAGATGAGAAGAGAGGGTGAAAAAGGACCAGTCAGGATGCTTTGTAAGTGAGCAGACATTAGCTAGACAGACTGCTGGAGGAGTTCAAGTACAGAGGGATTTCAACATCATGACACCAAAAATGAGACACGAGGGACTCCAAATTGTAACACCCATCTCCAACCCACAGTCATGGTCACAGCAACAGCTGTGAAATCTATCTTGGAGGAGTACACACATAAAAGAGACTTCTCTGAGCTCAACTCTAAGTCGGTCCTGAGCTCACCTCCATACAGCAGCCAGGAGGTGCTTCAGGTTTCATTAAGAGCACACAT